CATTCTTCGTGCTGTGTGCATCCAAGACCATTCTCTGCTGCCACAAGTCTGTTGTCCGTGCACACTACCGTATCCCATGGCTGTAGAAAAAGGAAAGATGGTGATCTCGACGATTGTTTATGGCGCCAACAAATTCGATTGTTGATGTATCGCGTAGATGGACGATAAAATTCCTGAGTGTTTCTCTCCTGAATTCATAGTGCGTGAACTCGCCACTCTTCTCAGGAGAGAAGACAAATGGACACAAAGTGGCTGTGGAATCCGTCAACAGCAACATTTGTGATGGCGCACATGAGATCGTCATACATTAACATATTAATAGGAGAAGGTGACGAACGGGAAGAAAAAAAGAAATAGCTCCTTGACTTGGGCGAAAATGGGAACGTAACCAGTTTGGACTGACAGTTTGCGTGGGATGGACTCCAGCAAGTCTCCAGCTTGTTGCCAGAGCGAGTGGAACGCGTTCTTCTTCACGACCAAGAATACCCCGGCCTTGACCGAACGTCTCGTGGACTGCGCTCGGCCAGTCAGGTGTCATTTCACACGCAGAAATTGATCGAGGTGGTTGACGACAAGATAGAATCACAACAATCCCCCGACAACGACCACTTCGGCGATTCTCACGCTGCGTCCCTTGCAGCGCCGCCCCTCCTTCCACAGAAACCCTTCCCCCCGTCAAGTGCTATAAAGGAGCTAGCACACCCTGGTTTATCTTGAACCCCAAAATATGTACGAGGACAGCACGACAGCAAGCCCTGGCGAGTTGAAAGACCGAAGCCTTTTCAACAAGCCATGAGGATAAATCCTCCCGGTAATCATGAAGTCATCTAAGAAATCTAATGGCAGGTGTTGTCACAATGCCTTCTGTTCGTTGAGAATCTGACGAAGAACACAAGCTGCTGATGTTGTAGAGCCGGTCCATTCACCCCGATTGAAATTTATGGCCTGATGACTCAGGATGGCCTGAAGTGAAGTACACTGCCGAAAAAACTGGTTGAGCGACAAATTCCGCGAATTTGGCGAATGACTAAGCGTGTAAGAGCGCATCGCGAAGGGCTCTATTGGCAGGTAACAAAATAGCCCAGGATTGACGGCGTAATGGCGGTGCTCCGTTTTGGCAATACTCGGAAAGAAAACCTAGTTATGCTAGATGTCTAAAAGACCCGTTAGTTGTACGCAGTGTGTTCGGGAGCCAAGCCAGCTTATGAGAGATTATATGATCCTCGTGCCCTGACTATGTATTAGGTATGAGGCAAGTCTCAACAACTTCAGACGACAGGAAACAGTAGAAAATCCTCGACCAGCAAGAGCGGGGAATGTAACCAACTGAAGGGTGATTTAGACAGCAAATCATTGTCAAAGAACGGAATGGTCTCGGGGAGCCAAAGGTGCCGTTCTTCCGGGATTAGAATACAGAACTCCTCCTGATTGCGAAAATGTCTCAGCAGCTGCCGAACTCACCTGAAGAACCTCAAAGCGCAGACGTTTTGATGACCTCGTCTTTAGCGCTCGTCCTTCTCTTGTTGTTGATCGATTCTCCGTGACTGTGCTCAACAGCCTAATGATAGCGTTTCGCGATTCTCGACTTACTAATTATGTAACCGCTGCCGCTGATATCACTGCCATTCTTCCATTACAACACACGCGGATACCCGTCCCGTGTCTACTTCCTTGAACGCTGCGGACCAGTTGGTCATACATTCGGAGAACCGAGCTGCCATTCACTGGAGGGCACTCCTCCAGTCAAGGCAGTAAAGAAAAAAGTGAAGGAATCTGTCGAAAACGCTTAAGTTAAGCGGTTCAGTCAGTTGTTCGGTTCGGCTGCGTTGCGCAATGAGCATGAAAAAGAGAGGATAGGCGAGAGTATGACAAAGAAAGAGCGCCAGACACTTTCAAGCTGAAAACGCAAAAATTGAAGCTATTGAAGCGATCCTTGCAAGCCCCTAGCGCCCTTGTTGCGCAGTTCAGAAAAGGAAATGGGGCACCAGCTACCTTCATGAGCAGCTCTTTCCGCACCAAAAGGATTCACCCATCCATTTAAACTCAAAGAACCATGAACTCTAGAAAAAATGGCTTGAATATCAACGGATAATACAAGCACATAAAAGCGATCAAGTCAGGGCTGGGCTCACCGTCTGATCGTTCTCGGTTGTTCGGCAAAGCGGTGCACAGAGTAGACACAAGAAACAGTACGAAAACAAACATGTAGATGGATTGAAATGCGACTTGAAGATAATCAGGGTGTGCTAGCTCCTTTATAGCACTTGACGGGGGGAAGGGTTTCTGTGGAAGGAGGGGCGGCGCTGCAAGGGACGCAGCGTGAGAATCGCCGAAGTGGTCGTTGTCGGGGGATTGTTGTGATTCTATCTTGTCGTCAACCACCTCGATCAATTTCTGCGTGTGAAATGACACCTGACTGGCCGAGCGCAGTCCACGAGACGTTCGGTCAAGGCCGGGGTATTCTTGGTCGTGAAGAAGAACGCGTTCCACTCGCTCTGGCAACAAGCTGGAGACTTGCTGGAGTCCATCCCACACAAACTGTCAGTCCGAACTGGTTACGTTCCCATTTTCGCCCAAGTCAAGGAGCTATTTTTTTTTTTCCCGTTCGTCACCTTCTCCTATTAATATGTTAATGTGATGACGATCTCATGTGCGCCATCACAAATGTTGCTGTTGACGGATTCCACAGCCACTTTGTGTCCATTTGTCTTCTCTCCTGAGAAGAGTGGCGAGTTCACGCACTATGAATTCAGGAGAGAAACACTCAGGAATTTTATCGTCCATCTACGCGATACATCAACAATCGAATTTGTTGGCGCCATAAACAATCGTCGAGATCACCATCTTTCCTTTTTCTACAGCCATGGGATACGGTAGTGAGCACGGACAACAGACTTGTGGCAGCAGAGAATGGTCTTGGATGCACACAGCACGAGGAATGATGCCACAAACCCACGACACGAAGAGTCCTCTACCCCGCTCGTGGAACTGACAGAACAAGTCGCTTCTTCTGTTTCGCTGTCTTCTTATGTCACAGATCCCCTTCAAAACAGAGCTCGTTGCGTTCATTTCGCAAGACATGGGCCCCAAAATATGTACGTGGACAGCAAGCCCTGGCGAGTTGAAAGACCGAAGCCTTTTCAACAAGCCATGAGGATAAATCCTCCCGGTAATCATGAAGTCATCTAAGAAATCTAATGGCAGGTGTTGTCACAATGCCTTCTGTTCGTTGAGAATCTGACGAAGAACACAAGCTGCTGATGTTGTAGAGCCGGTCCATTCACCCCGATTGAAATTTATGGCCTGATGACTCAGGATGGCCCTGAGTGAAGTCCACTGCCGAAAAAAATGGTTTTGAGCGCCAAATTCCGCGAAATTTGGCGGATGGACTAAGCGAGAAGACGCATCGCGAGGCTTCTATGGCAATAACAAAAACGCCGGATTGCGCGTAGATGGCATGCTCCGTTTTGGCCAATAACCCACCCCCACGAATAGAAAACTATTTTGCTAGATGTTAAAAGACCGTTATTTGTAGCGCAGTGTGTCGATTAGCCCAAGCCAGCTTATGAAGCATTGAGATGATCCTCAGGACTTGACTATGTGTAGGTATTTGAGGCAAGTCCAACACTTGCATAGGCGACAGAAAACAGCTAGAAAATCCTCGACCAGCAAGAGCGGGGAATAACCAACGGAAGGGATTTAGACAGCAAATCATTGTCCAAGAACGGAATGGTCTCGGGGAGCCAAAGGTGCCGTTCTTCCGGGATTAGAATACAGAACTCCTCCTGATTGCGAAAATGTCTCAGCAGCTGCCGAACTCACCTGAAGGACCTCAAAGCGCGGACGTTATTGAATGGCCTCTTGTAGCGACACACCTTTCTTGGTTGGTATATCGATTCTCCATGACTGTGCTCAATAGCCTAATGATAGCGTTTCGTGATTCTCGAAATACTATTTATGTGACCGCTGCCACTGATATCACTGCCATTTTTCTATTACAACACACGCAGCATACTTTTCGTCCGTGTCTACTTCCTTGGAAACGCTCGGACCAACTTGGTCACCTGTCGAAGGACCGGGCTGCAGTCACTGGTTAGAGGGCAATTCTCAGCAAGCCAGCAAAGAACAAAAGTGAAGGATCCGTCGAAAACGCGATAAACTAACGGTGATCAGCTTGCCTCGGTTGGCTGCGTTGAGCAAAAGACATGCAAAAAGAGAGGACAGGCGACAGAATGACAAAGAGAGGGCGCCAGACACTTTCAGGCTGCCAACGCGGACATAAGCTGTTGAAGCGATCCTGGCAATCAGGGTCAACCCTACGTTGGTACAAGTACCAACGGGGGGGGTCGTACTTGGTTTAGCTTGGAGGGGGGGGTCGTATCCGCTTCAGTTTGTGGTGAAACTCGAGTTTCCACGAGTAGTAGGCTAGGTGAGTTGGGAGCGCACGGGAGAAAAATTCGCCGTTTCAGCGCGCGTATATACCCCCTAGAAAATGAAGCAGTGGGATTATAGGTAGAGTTGGGGTAAATTGGTTGAAATTTAGGGAATTTTGGTAAATTTTTACTGTTTCATAGTGGGTATATACCCCCGCTCGACGGCATTTTTGGAGGAAAAAGTGGGCGGAGTTTGGTGGGTTGAGTGGTACCAGAATTAAATACTATAGAGAGGAATATGGTGGTCGAGGGTCGGAAAGGGGGTCGTACCAAATCCACCAAAAACACCAAAACCGATTGGGGACGGCGGGTCTAATAAAATTTTGGCAAAAAGTACCAACGAATAGGACCGACCTGAGCGCCCTTGCTGTCCTTTGTTTGCGCCATCAGGAAAGAAACGGGCACTAGCTACCTTCATGAGCAGCTCTTTCCGCACCAAAAGGATTATCCATCTAAAACTCGTCCTGGGTTGTGCCTTTAATAACAACAAAGTAGAAGCTTGCTGTAATGTGAAATATTCACATATATGAGTCCTAGCTCGATTTGGCTCCTGTTGGCATTGAACGCTGGAGAAATTGAACACTCGAATCCTTGTCGGGCTCCGCGGACAGTCCTCGAAGGAGCTGGAGAACTATCCGTGCTGGTGGGGCCGTACGCCCCTGTACTTCGGTGGTTGCGATCGGAAGGACACAGATCGGCAGTTTTCCACTCGGAGCGTATCGGTATCAGTTCAGCGGGCTATTTGTGTTAGTTTGTGCAATTTGGCCGAGCATCTACTTGCAACTGCTCCGATCGCGATATATTCGCTCAGTCTAAGTTGAAGCACTGGGGAGAACTTAGCAGGCGAGGGAGGGTTTGGCGAGATAGATCCGACAAAATGTCCAAAATCTCGACACTACACGATAACACTTTCCCATGAAGGAAGGCTTCTTCACCAGCACTTTACTCGAACTACGCGCTATTTCTACGGTTTTGACTGGGGGACCGCTGAAGCAGCCGAATGAAATTTCATGCAACACAGAAAACAAATGAACGCAGAATTCCTGAATTATCACACCGTGTCGTTTCACAAATGCACAACTTTGAGGACTGAGCGAACTTGCGGTGTTGCATAGCATGGTATAGACCTTAAACATGGACCGGTCATGTGGGCGTTCAAAAGGTGGCAGATGGACCTCTCGGCATCCCGTCGGGCAGCAAGCGGCCACTGGGAAGGCCTGACGTAGGATAGTGCGATCCGATGGTAAAAACATCGGCCTCAATGGAGGCGATGTGCACAGGTTTAGAATGGATGCTTCAAGATCGACTCGCGTGATGAGGATTTTTTCAAGGGCAAGTCGAGTCCAGGTGACATTGGTAAATTATGGAGGATCGCAGCACTGACCCTTCAAACGGCACCAGCGTTTGCTGAGACACCAGATGGAGAGGCAGCATGAATTATGGGATTCGCTGTATTCAAGAAGTTCTTTGTTGCATAACGTGTTTAGGCGTGAGAAGGAAGAGTGACGGGGGCGCGTACGAAAATGGAATTCTCTTCTAAGGCCACGGTTAATTCGCTGCCGAGTAACGACACAAACTGCCCACGGGCGGGCGAAGTTTGTTTGTAAACGGAGCAGCCGGGAGGGGTCCAAAAGCATCGGTTCGAAGGCGACTGCCTGCGTGACAACAGCGGACGCGGACAATGGTCGGGCGGAGGCGCGCTATCGCTTGACAATTTCTCTCGGTTCTTTCTGCTGCGGCTCTTTCGGTGTCATCCTGCGGAAATACACGGACAGGTGGTAACAACGCAACCAGGACTTAATAACCGCATTCGTACGTAAGATCACGTCTTGGCTCTGCGGTATTGTGGCACATACCGCTACCCACGCGAACTGGGCTGCATCTGTGCACTGTAGATGGGCGCTGGCGCAAGAGACGGGGCGCTGTGGTGGGAATGCACTTAAGCGCACGAACATTTCCGTTTCTATCAAGAGCAGAAATAAGCCTCAGGCGCGGAAAAGAAACTCCAAGGTACGTGAGCAATTCTTTTTCTCCGGAGCTCCTGCCACCTTCTAGGCTTGGTCCTAGAGGATGCCCCCGCATCTTGCGATAGCACCCTGTAGATGTTTTCGATGCCAAAATTGCGTGTTGAGTACTACAACCAAAACACAACGTTGTAATACTCGAGCAAGTAATACAGCCTTAAATTCATCGGTGCTACAGTGATGCTGAGAATTGCTCTGTTCAGCAATCGGCAGGTTGGGACCGTTTTCGAGCTTGTTGGGAGAACCCAGGGATGAATTCTTCTCACTCAGTGGAATGTAGACCTACATACCCAGCAGGCGTCAAATATTATAAATATCAGAACAGTTCCAGAAGTCCAGCTCACACTCAGTTGGCAGGTACACCATTCGGGTGGAGAAGAAGATTTATGGTGCGACTCAGTCTTGCGACGATTCACAGTGAATATCCAGCACCTTCTCTCACAATTTGGTCTGAACCATTGTACTTCAGTCACTGGACGATCTCCAAGCCAGAGGGTTCAGGTTGTGAGGTTCATGATTGGAAATGTTGTTCCTATCAAATGCGATACGTCGCATAGCGTTAACAGTTCTGACGGAGCGTATAAGGGTGTACATTCATCTTGCTGGGTGACGGCGGCGGCAGACGGCGCCGGACAGCGGCTGTCTCCGAAAATAGCCGCTGCGGACCGCATATGTCAAACAAGAGAACAAGAGAGATGCACAGGACAATTAGAAACGAATATTACATCACAAGGTGTAAAGCAGTCCGCCATTGACTGAGAACTTCTTTGCTGAGTCACTTCAGCCCAGATGGCTGCAGTCAGGCTCAGCCGTCCATTGTACAAACATCAACAAAGGGGTCGTATCCGGCCAACTGGAGTGGTCGTTCGGGCAAAGGTCCGCGAAAGGAAGGGTGGAGAGTTTTACGAGTGGAGGTGTGCAGAGGTTAGCGCTGTGAGAAAGCTAGACTGAGAAAACAGCACAATTAATTTTACAGGCCTATTCGATCCGTTCTTCAGCCGGCTCCTCTCGTACTACGTTACCTAGATGGAGCCAGACTGAAGAATATAAATAGGTTGCAGGTCTGGGTCTGGGGCTGCTGCATTACACCGTCGGCACAATTTCCTATCATAAGCCGAGAGGTACTGAGGGAAATACGCATTCAAATGCCTCGGCGCTTTTAAACCACAGACGGGCGCGTACCCCAGAAACGTAACGGCGAGACTGTGTTTTGACCCTGTCATTCGAGGAGCTTAAATCTCGCAGTTTTCTCTGCAATTTGGAGGGGTGGAAAATGTTAAACCTGAAGAAACTTCAGGATTACTCAGATGTTGAAAAGTCGCGGGTGCTCAAAAAACAGGACGATTTTTCTGAACGGTTGGGCTTCACGATAGTTTAATTGCGCTTACCTTGGAGTTAGCTAGTAAATGATTCAGCGATACTTAGGAGAAATTGTAGTTTTGATTTCCGCTACTACTTGAAGCTCGGGCCATCTCGCAGAACATTTAATTGAACCTGAGGCAGCAAGATCAAACACCAGCCGTTTATGGAACTTCGAAAAAGAACGTGGTATTCTCTCTCGAAAATCTCGATTTTCGTCTTCGCATATTCCAAAAGTAGTTCTGCCAGGAGTCCAGCTAGGCTGGTTAGATTTCGTGTTGTTCGAAAATTATAAGCCGAACAATTGCACCCCCAAATTATTAGAATACAAACCTGGATAAGAAGTTTACTCACCAACATAGCAAGCTCCAGACCGGTTCTCTTATTGTTGTGGCCGCAGGAGCTTGGCAAAAGTCCCTACGCTTCCGTCCGAGCGATATTTTGGACCGCGCTGTCAACATTTTCTTATTTTCTGTTTGTTGGGGTGATGAGAGCCAGTACGAACCTCAATAGGGAATGTTCTTTCAATCGAAATGCGACATTAACAGACTGTAAAAGTCCCGCTCTGCATGCAGGTCATATCCGCCTCGTCAAAATCAGATTGCGCCGATTGAGAAATGGCCGATGTCAGAGTCTGCGATTGGAGCGATCGGTCAAATGCCAATCGCGCGACCATCGCGCGATTCGCGCGACGATCGCGCGATTGACATGAGTCCCATCATGACCAATCGCTCCAATCGCGCGATGGGCGCGATCACTCCCGTTGTGGCTGGCGCGCCCCCCTCGATCGATACGTTGACTGAGGTATCGATCGAGTGGGCGCGCCTGCCTAAAAACAAAATAAGACCAAAAAAAACACAAAACGCGTCCGCCAAAAAAAAAAAAAGAATAAAAAAAGAAAACTGGGAGGATTTTTCTTTTTCTTTCTTCTCTTTATTTTTTTGGGTCGTATTTGGTGTTATTTGTCGTATTTTTCTATTGCTGGTTATCTTTTTTTTTTTTCTCAATCGTTTTTCTTTTGCTTGTATCTTTTTTGTTCTCCTGCGCTATATTCTCTCGATTTTTGTTGTTCGGCGATGCATTTTGCTGAATCGCTCCAATCGCAGAATCCGACATCGGCCTTAAAGGCACGCTCCGCGATCAGGCGGCTCGCCTGTTCCATCCAGGGGGTAGTAGGCAGGTGGACAAGTGTTGATGTCGGCCCCTTTTGCGGCTTGAAAGTGCGCGACAAAGGCGCAAGGAGCTCGTCCGACCCGCAACTCACACCTTCGTCCGCAAGCCCCACCCGTTGCCACGTGGCGCTGCTTGAAAGCGCGGGCGCATTTGAGGCAGCGGTCCCATTGCGATCCAATGTTATTGGCACTGGAGCAACTAGAGTTAGGTTCGTGAAACTCGTCCAACGCGCCTCTTCTCTATCCCAAGGTGGAATGTGGCTGAAATAGGGAGGTCTCTGTACGGGGCGTAATCGGTGGTTTCGTTTGCTTTCCTTCTCTTTTACAGACCACCTTCAGCTTCATAACTGAACGCTTTTCCACACCTATTTTATCCCGAATCTTGCCTTTGAATCACGCTGTGAAGTCTTCATTTTAGTCTCTTCGAAGAAGACCTCGGGGCGAATGACTCACGGTGGATACAAAATGACTCCGAGAGTGTTGTGCTGTGCTTAAAACTAAAATGGGCTACCTGCGAGAAAGTTCAGAAAGGCATCAAAAGAGTTCTTTCCAGTTGACTGTTGGTCACTCAACGTCAACGGCGGCCGGTGCCGACAGCGCGATTCTTGCGCTCCTACTTCGGAGATCCACCAGTGGCTGCTTGGGAAATCGGTTCCGCATTACCGCCAAGGCATTCGTGGAATTCTTTAAGTAGCGGGTGTGGCGCTGTGCGTGTAAGTGTGTGGAATGCGGTAAAACACATCAAAAGACCAGCAAATGTTCGACATCCTTTCAAGGACACGACGTACAAACCGCTCCGCCGTCTTCCAGTGAAGCGACCAAAAACACTCGACAGCGCTTGGGAGGGCTTGCTGTTGCGAGTATGGGAGATTCGCAAGACCAATGGGGGCATCATCGCTGACGAGAATACCTTTGACGTTCGTCATAAAGTCCAAAAACAGCGAAGGGTGTGACTGTGGACGAAAAGCCACTCTGTTGGGAGAGAGCGATAAGGGGTGATGGATTGCTGTGATGTCTGCTCACCACAAAGGAATGTCCACGTAATGTTGGGTGAAGCGACTGTATTCCCTCAAATCTGACATAGCGCTGTCCAAAAGTGATTGCAAGAACATAATTTGAGAAGGACTTCATGAGAACGCAACCCCCCATCTCTTGTTTGCGCATTTGGATTCTTTCATTTTTGAGATTTTCCACTTACGAAAGTTCGACACTATTTCTGCACTTATCAGTATGTTTTGAAATTATAAATTGTTTGAAATTATAGTTAAAGGTAATAATCACAAGGACACCGTAAAAATCGCACCAGGGGCAGCGTTTGAAAAACCCAATGCTCTTATAGATTGGTGTCTCAAACAAAAAACGCCAACGTCGGTATTACTTTCGTCAGCCCCAACTCACTCCAATCTGCTACAGCTCTGTGGAGAATATCAGACATTAATTCATGCTAGCCCAAAATCTGGTCCTCTCCCGAGGAAGAGACCAACTAACCATGGGACATGCGCGCAAGCCTTAGGCCACCGTATAACAGTACCTTGACCACCATATCTCAAATCTGAACTCGACATACTTGCTCACAAGAATCAATTTAACGTGATGCAAATAGTCTCTCAAAACAAAAATATATAGGTTTGTCCAAAGTCAAACAAAATCATGATGCTGTGAGAAGCGTAACTCCGAAAAATCCGTCAACCACATTTGTTTCGTGCATCCACCTTATGTAACCATGTCAACCGTCCTAAGCTCGGCTCTCCCACTTGTTAATTATTACCTGGATTTTGTGAACCCTCTGCCTATTTTCCACGAACGCTTGAACGACCAGCTGGAACTGGCGAATGTGTAGGCAATGTAGCGGCTTACACTCGAGCGTCCGGGAATCAAATCCTGAGTCTGAGCGCCCTGGCTAACCATCCTTTCTTCCCTCTCGAGCGCGTAAATTGTACCAGACTCTACTGGATAAAACACTACTTGTAATCGCTGCCCCCGCAATCATTTCTATAGGCACATCGCCATCAAAGCCACTACGAAGTATTAAATGTATGCTATACGAAGTTATACTTTACTGCTTGGAATGTTCCGCAAGTCATGCTAGACCAAGGATTAGCCAGAAGATGGGCGAGGGCACGCTCTCTCAAACCACGGTGCAACGGCGCTTCACTCTGCTCAGCGTTGACTTTTTTATTTGAAAATAACCCACACTCCAACCACCCTGTGACTGACAATCACGATGCTCTATCTGACGCTGTTGAAAAGGGATCTGGATAGAGTATCGATCATTTGCTAGAGCGATTCCGATGCGACAAGGAGACAGCACTGTGGCATCTCCAAAGACTTGTGAAGATCCGAAAATATAGAGTTTGGATCCCACATGCCTTGAGCCCGAATCAGCTCCAAACACGATCTGACATCGTCATGTTCAAGTCGACTTACTATGGATTCTTCGATTGACCATCCATCACATTTGCCGAAGATGAGGAGTGGGTACAGTGTGCTAACAAATAAACAAGCGGCGGTAGTCCAGCTCAAACGCTTCGGGAGTTCTTACTGCTAAGTTCAACCTCGTCCAAGTAGGGCCTTCTCGGATTTTTGGTGGAACACGAGAGGAGTTGAGCTCTGGAAACCCCTACGTGTAGATGTCGCAGTCAACGCGAAAGTCAACCATCCACAGCTCGAATTGCAACGCTTTAATACGAAAGAAAAACAAGGCAAAGTTTGCTTTTGTATGACACCGTTGAACCACCTCTTGCTAAGAAAATCCAGGAAAATTTCAGGACTCTGAACGGAGAGTTCCTTCATAATCGCCTTATAGCCCTAACTTGAGCTCCCAGATACACACCTGTTCTCTCTCTCTCGAGACCACTTTCTAAAAAAAACATTTCAACCATCACCATGTCAAACGACATTCTTTGATGCATTGAACGGAGCTCTTAGAGAGGCATCGAACAGCTTCTAGTGCGTTGGCAATAGGTTGTAGATATTGATGGAGGGTAGCATGCTGGATGAATGGAACAAAAAGATAATAAAAATATTAAATTCAAAATTTAGCCAGTTTGTTGCAAGACTTATGGACCGACCTAATAGAAGAAAGTCAGCGTGACTCAAAAATTATGTGACAACCTAATAATCATGGGATTAGAAATGAAAAAAAAACATTATTTTTGCTCGTTTTGAGTCACATTTGAAGCGTCTGACGCTGAAAACTGTGCTGTGAGATGTGCCACGCACTCGCTCGCGGCTAATACTCACGGATGCATTTGAAAGTTTATTCCCCCTTTTAGAACTTGTGGAAGCAGGCCATTCTGATCCTAATCCTATCAGAGCAAGAGGAAGCCTTCAATAGTAATCTCGTGTCTTATTTACAATACGTTTACTTCACGCACAATAACGGTCAAAAGGTTGGGAACTTCAACACTTTCAATTGAAAGCGCCCATCAAACGAGTGATTGCCTCGAATCTAAGGAGTATATACAAAATGCAATGGAGAACATAGTGTGTAGCGTTGAAAAGTCCGAGAATCTTACGTGGAAATTTTTGATTGTTTCCAAAATTCACGCGTCACATGAAAACCCTACTAAACTCCACAATGCTGAATGAAATTCAGCAGAAGGCTTCTTGAATGTATATGAAACCAGGAGCTTGTTATATAGGTGACTGATCGATGATTCATGTATTTCCGGACTCGGAACGCTGCTAACGCAATGGGCATTAAAGGCACGAGTCGGGATTGAATTGATGCGTTATTTTGTCTGAAAATTAGGCAAGGAGTGCAATGAGGAACATTAGTGAGGAGAAAAAGCAAAAAGCACCATAGAAAACACTAAATTTCCCTTGTGAGGCCGACCGTGGTATGAGCGCTGCGAGGAGAGGGAGAACGCGAGATAGTACGTCGTACGTGAGAGGACGCAGAGACCACGTATGCCGTGGTTGATAACGCTGGCAGCACGGCAGCACACAATGCAAGGTCTTAGCGCCGGTGCCTCGAACTTTTGAGTCGCGACAGTGTCGTGCCTACTGCCCTTGAGGACCCCTCTCCCTCACTCTAGAAGGGACTGGCTCTTGGACCTAATCCCGACTCGTGGCTTCAAAATGAATTTCTGTGTGGAAATCTTTACTGCAATCAGGATGATGCGACCTGCGGGCTATTCCCAGACATGAACAACATAGCTGTAGCCTAGAGATTAGCTTTGCCCTTTCTTCTTCTTCTTCTTCCCTAGCGTCGGGCCCAGTCGCAGGGTCCGCTGTCTTTATCGTAATCGCCATTTTGTTCTGAAGAGGGCATCTTCTGTGTGGCTATGACTTCGCTCTCTTCTTTAGGGGTCCTCGCCGTCGCTTGCCTTGGGCTTCGAGTCCATCGGATTCCTCACTGGGTGATTCTCTGGCCTCCTCAGCACGAGTATACACATCACAAGAGTTGTTCCCTCACCCTTAGTTGGACTGGGCAGCTGCTACAAATTACCTAGCAGTCGCCATGACCGCTCTGAATTCTCGCTTCTGACCTGTCCAGTCGCGTCCAGCCGCAGGCCCATCTCAGCATCCTCATCTCAGCGGAGTGAAGCTGCCTTTCGTGATTCTTGTTCAGGGGCCAGCACTCGCTGCCGTATAGCATCGCAGGCCTTACCACTGTCCGGTACACCTTTCCTTTGAGCGTTCTGGAGCACCTTCGATCGCAGAGGATTCCAGTGGACTCCCTCCATTTCATCCATGCCGCGTTGATCCGTGCCTTTACTGCCTGGTCCACACTGCCGTCGGCGCCAGATCACTCCCAAGGTATCGGAAGTCCTCCACTCTTTCGATGGTTTCCCATGGCCGTCCATGATCGGTTCTGTGCCCATTTCAAAATTTATATGCTTGATTTTCTTGATATTCATTCGAAGCCCACATTCTGCCACACGCCCTCTCATTTCTGCCTTTTGCCCCAAACTTCTTTGCTATATGTTAGCAAGGCGATATCATTATCGTAGACGATGGCCTTCATCGGTCCCTCCATGAGTCCCTTCATGGCATCGAGTGCCAGGAGAAAGGGATACGTCGCACATATCAATAATCAAAGGTAGGACAGGAGTGGGACGTTCTGTTCTCTGACCGTTCTTCACTGTACTGCCTGCGCCCGGAAAAGCCTTCTCCAGGTCGAGGAAGGCTAGGGCCAGTGTCCGGATTTCTCGAAGCTTCTCCATCGCTTGCTCAATGATGAAGATGGCATCCGTTGTGGGTCTTCCATGAACCCGAACTGTTCCTGGGAGATCGGGACCAGCTCCCGCAGCTTCGAGTCGACCAGTCGCTCGTACAGCTTCATGGTATGCGCAGTCAACTTGATCCCGCGGTAGTTGGAGCAGTCCATCGCGTCACCCTTCTGCTTGAAGATGGGGACGATAGTACTTGTTCTCCAGGCATCCGGCATCCTTCCTTCGTAGTTACGGTGTTGGAGGAACCGTATGAGCCATCTACTTTCGTATTATCCGAAGGCGCTCCATGCCTCATTTGGACAAGCTGCTTGCCCATGATAGGGTGATCTCAGCCACATTGCGGTTTCACTGTACTGACCGCTCTAGATCTGGGAGCTCAACTTTCACTGTCCTTTGTTAGGGGTTGTTTTTCTATGCAGCGCAGCTGTCACCACCGGTTTCGCGCGCTACCGTGGTATTTTTGAGGAGATCTACAGCAATGTGCTAAGAGGAGCCCATGCTGGAGAGCCAATTCTTCGACAGTGATTACTTGAATGTCCATAACTGTGAGGGCCAGAACCATTGCCGCACCACTGCCAGTCCCATCCACTGTCGAGTGAGAGGCCAAAACCATTGCCGCACCACTGCCAGTCCCATCCACTGTCGAGTGAGAGCCAAAACCATTGCCACACCAAGCAGATATACTGTCGAATCCCTTTGAATATTCTAGGTTTCCATTAGGAGTGGTAAAAAGTATGAGTGGCAACGACTTCTTGCACTAACGCTACTTACCCTCCCCTTCAAAAGCGAGAAAGTGTCGGGTGCAGACCATGCACCACAAGTGACGACGGCCTTCACAAAATGTTAATGTTTTCTGCCAATGAAATGATTAGCCTGTTGCAGTTGTATTCTATCGATTGTCACTAATTACAACTATCATTTACCAGAAATCAGCTATCACTATGAACAACTTCTAACCAGATTTACTTGGAGGCCGTCGTCAGTTGTGGTGTTTGGTCTGCACCCGACACTTTCTCGCTTTTTGAAAGGGAGGTTACGTGGAATTGGTTTAGTACAGGATACCCGAAAAAATCGCGACAGCGCGATACTTTTTTATAATTTTATACTACGCTACTTACTTTCTTTTCCAGTTCCACATTATGAGCCGCCAGTGAAGCTCTCACCCAAAACGTGCTCAGCCCTACAATGCGACTTTGAGGGCGGTTCCTGTCTTCAAACTCTTGATTCCAGTGATTGGAGGATCGGTGAAGAGCCAGTAGGATCGCGATCCAGTGGCATTCGCACACAGTTGGGTAAGTGGTCCAAGCGTTAAACATGGCCTACCCAACGCACTTGCGTTGGCTCCGTGTGCTTGTCGGAGGCTAGTAAAAGTGCCGACTCAAAGGCGGTGATTAGACATGGGAGGCGGGGCGGTAGTGATGACGTACTTGAACGTCATTGGTGGAAGAGCGTCGTAAGGCGGTTCCAGCCACACTCCCAGCGCGCTGAGGGTCCAGTCCACCACTGGCCTCGCCACCCTCCGTCCTTATCGCTGCCCGTAAAAGCTACTAACCGAAATCAGGTCATCTACTACCACTTGATCAGTGCAGCTCAGAATCAGGCTCAAATTCTATTCCAAAAATATGGTAGCTTCGCACAATAAAAGAAAATGGTGATCACATTTCTTGAGTTGGGCTCTATTAGAACAAAGAAACCTGAAATCATCGCGAAAAGGTAGCCGGAGCCATCAGTGCTACTAATTGAAAGGCGATACCTGTGTTGCCGAGCACAAGTTCAAGTTAGGACAGCCAAGTGGAGGCCAAGGGTGACGTCAAATTAATCTGAAAGGACTTCCTGGATGGGCAGTGTGCTACTTCATTATTCATGACTTCCATAGGTGCATTCAACGAATAATTCATTTCCGCCTCCAACAAAAACGACTATGCTGAAAGCTCAGTGCCATGTCTTTTTTTAGTGACTTTAAGGCAAACACCAGGCCGTGGTCGATACGAATCGTTCAGTGGGTGGGATAGAGTTCACCCTCGAGTAACACAATGTGGCCGTTTGTGGTGGTTGAAGTGCGCGATAATGGCAATCAGGGTCTTACCAAGTCAGCATTTTTGGGCGACTCCATTAACATTTTGGACAAATTAAGTTATTCACATTCCAGATACGTGGGTAGATTTTAGGGCGTATGGCGGCTAATTTTGAGACGGCGCCAGTTTATTTGAGCCGTGGAGGCAGGCAAGTGTCGTGCAACTCGTCTCACGCCCGCCCCCTTCTTATTCGATAACCTCCATGTTTAAAGGGTTCATCGGAACGGCATCTTGTGCTTTTTTTCCCTGGGTCAAGCCAGCCCCCAGCCTATCGGTTGTTAATCGACTCCATTATCGACCGCTGGCTAGCTAAAATTTGATCTGTGATGTTGCTTTAAGATCACTTCACAAGGTAAAGACAGTGGGTACAGTAATTCGGTCACCTGTTTGGAAAAAGCAGAAGCTTTAGTGGCGCAGCAGTGAAGATGAAAGTTTGAGAAAAATGAGCCGAAATCCTCCCGTTTGAGGGGTACAGCGATAAATGTGTCATCACGTAACCGCCCCGCTCTACCTCTTTCCCAAGGAGGCTAAAGCGTCTACGGACGGACAGGGTCAGCGACTCGCGCCGCTAGTCTGGAGCGGAAGCCGTCGCCAGGCAACCCTAACCAAGGTAAAGCGCTCTGTTCTGCTCACTTACTTGTGGCTCAGAATTCGAACCGTTCATGCTGAGCATCATAGGTAAACATCGAAATAACCGCTAATATGTTCGACCCTTTGACGGCTCACAGCTATTTGTTGTCAATTCAGATGGTCCGTTCGCGTATGCCATTGGTCCGGGCACTGCATCGCTTTCATTAGGACCGTTTGAGATGTCACGAAGTTTTGCCATCGAATTTTGCTACTACATTGCAAGTTACCGCAGTAAACTCGTCGTCTATCTCAGTAGGACACAGGAAAGTGATCGAGAACGGTAGGTGATGTGGTAAAAATTAGTTATTTAAGGTCAAACATCACCAGTGTTGTATTTATTTATTTATTTACTATTGCACAAATGAGACAACGTTATATTAAATGGGGAACAGTAACACAATAGCGTGTAAATATATAAATATATGCATATATACATGTACAGCAAATTAATACGGGAAGCTTAGGATAATACAGGAGTTCAAATTAAAGTTATGAAACAAGTTTTGAAAAGCAGCTGATTGGCTAAGAGTACGGGAGGGGGGGAGGGGGAGAATCTGAAGGGCCACTAGGAGGAGATGGGCATAAATATGTTATTTGTTATTGTATTCAGTAACGTATATATAGTATAAGCAAAATTGTAAACAAAACATAAATAAATAAACAATAAATAATAAATAAACTTGAGTATACGACCACCTTGAGCTCATAATGGCTCCCTCAGGTCAAGTCAAATTTCTGCAAGATCTCATATCACAGGTTGAACTGTGACTATGGCATCAGGATATTTATTGGCAAAAAGACGATCCCAATGGAATGCTCCTTTGAGAGCAAGATGATCACGATGGCTGATAGATTTTCTATGACGTCATTTGAGCTTATTGGTGAACTAGTTTTCCATCGCGCTGGGGTGTGGTTGGGACCGCTTCCCCCCCCGCCTCCTGACGATGTTCCACCAATTGTTCAATGACGTCATCAAAATCGCACCGATTTCTACATCGCGATCACTGCCTTTAATCTCACTGCGTTTGTAACAATAAATAGCTTTGCTCTTCTCTTTGATTATTAAAACGAACTGAAAGCTCGCTTCATTAATCTGTGTGAAATGTGTAAGAAGCTGATGAAGATCTTGGTAGGAAAGGAATCCCGGGTAGACTGATGAAACACAAAATTTTTGCTGACCAATTCTTGTGACTTCGCACTGCTATTTTTTACAAGGCTGTATAGCAAGCAGAGCGACGTCTCTGGCACAATGCACGGCATTGGAGATGCGATAAAATCCGCCTTCTAAAATAATGGGACATCCGAGGCGGTAACTGAACAATTATGTCTTTTCGAATCCTTACTTTCGTCCGCTCAAACCGTTTGTACCTTCCCAGGGTCACCGCCCGTTAGGATTTTCTGAATGAAGGAATAGGGGGAGGGTCTTCTGAGGCCATATACCCTCTCCCTTGCTGCTTGACAAAAAATTGGGAGGAACTTTAGGGGCGGGGCTAGTGTAAGAAATGTGTTAAGTGATCGCAGGGCCAGAAACACCTCTATGTAACAGATAACCCTGCCTATATCCCACCGAGAACATTTTTTCGGCGCCAGACTTGTCTACAAAAAACGGTTGATTTGCCGTCGCCTGATCCACGAAGGGAATTGAAAAGGTTGGTTCTCATTCCCACATTCCAGTTCGAAAAGGTGGTCCTGCACGAGCCGCTGACAGCTACCGAGCTTTTGAAGCCGTGTAGATAATCCCCGAATGAGATGCTGTAGTGGAACAGCTGAAACGAACCAAACCACCCACTCACGAGGGGTTCTAGGTTACTTTCTAGCTACCGAAGATGTAGGAAGTATGTAATAAAAAACTCATGTATAAGTGTTTGGCCTAGAAATCGTTTGGTTCTTACATGAGCATGCCTTTATATGTACCTAGGTGAACCTTGTTTTTCAGATCGAGTTCTCAGCAGAAGGCCTAAGGAACGAGTACTCGTACTTGGGTCTAGATCAGATCGACGTTTACGACCCACTACTGGGTGTATCAGCATGCAAAAAGAAGTCGGAAAGTGGAAAATTTCCTTTGTTTTTGTAATAATGCTACAATCACTTCAAACTAATCCCTTTTTATCTCGACGATGATCACTTTCAATATTCGCTTTCTCGAGGGCACTTCCCTCGAAAATAGATTCCGAGTGCAGATGGACAATTGGTCGACACGTGATGCAAAAAAGTGCTATTGTACTAGAATCACGTTACCTGCAGATAGTGTGGGCGGGGTTTGCGCGCCGCTACTGTAGGGTCTTAATGAACAGCCCCACTGCTTTACTGCTCTTAACGTCTTTGAGCATATTATGAGGGACGGCTAACCAACGAGATATGCCGTAGCTGCTGGGCGCAAACCCCGCCCATATGACTGGTGCGCATTGGTTTTTTTGACTCCTATGCTCGTTTTCATTGGCTGATATTAGGTTGGAAAGAAAGTTCTGCAACACTCTTTCTAAAATTTTCTTTTTTTCTGAAAAATTCATAGGTAACATTTATGACTACCAAATGATAGAGCATTCTCAAGGCTTCAATCCACGAGGTGGATATAAGTTCTGCAGTCAGTAGTTATCCAAGAAAATTCAAAAAATCTCGACCACTAGCAAATCCGTACTCCGAGTCACTGTCTAGTACAAATGTCTACAAACTATGGATTCGTGTCAACGACTGACACTATCTGCAATAGCTTCAATAGGCATGCCGTTCACCGCTACAGCGTGTTTCACCTTTACCAGCGCTTCCGATCTTTTGATATTTTTATAAGAAGCCAGCAGCATCCCTCACACTCCATTACAGGTAGGGCTCTTACAGAAGCTCCACTACATACCCTTCGTTATGGGCACCATTTGTAGGCAGTGGCCTAGGTTGTGGAAGTACCAGAAGCTGGCCGAGGTAGCTCGTCAAGAGCCCTCGTACCGCGACAATATTCATTTTCTTTCATGACATTGCGAATCACCATGATCCGAAATGAGCCCGGTAAGAAATTCTGGAGTTGCGGCAAGATTTCTTTCCTCTCTTAGCGTAATCCCTGGTCGAGCTGTAAATAAGTGCTACCTATCCTGGACCTTTAATCATCATCTTGATAACGAAATAATCAGACGATCAACTCCAACTCGAAAGTGAGGTCGCCTCCTTTCTCGACCTCGCACTCCGCTGGGTTTTGGCGGAGGAGGATCAAGAAATTTTCTGAGCGATGGAGACAAGTGGTGGACACTCATGGTAGATATAAGACCGGTCAGAAGTTGTAACCAAAAAAGATAAAATTAAAATCAAAAATTTGAAAAAGTGTTGCAGGACTTTCTTTCCAACCTAATATTTCCACTACCACGTGGCTTTTGAGGCCATCCTCCTGTGACCGGGAACAGTGCTCCTAAAATTTAATTGAAAAAAAAAAACCAAAAAAGAAAAAAAAAAGAAAAACCTTTTCAGCGCGTTTTTTCCCCCAATTTCCGATTCTTTTCATATTCAGTCTCTAATCAAGCGACATGAAGCCACAGATCGTACCTGTGACCTGATCTGGCGCCTGGGAAGGGTAATCCTCAATGCTCTCAAAATTTAAGCACCTACGAAGCCTCTTTATATCGTTCCAAACCAGCTCTCCACATTTATCAGCTGTAAAAACGGTTAGCCATGGCCTTATTAATAGGATGTTTCGTCTCATTGCCAGGCTCAGTCAACCGTCACGTTAGGGCAATTCAAGTAACTTCGATCAATCTCCGGGGCTCGTCTACCATGCACGACGCTCTCTTACACAACCAGAACCCCCATAGGGAGGGTCCCTACTCGTCCCCAACCATCACCTTCACCCCTTATCTGTTTCTGCAGTACTTTTTGATTTTGGTATTGAACCATGAGTTACACGCTCCAGCTCCGCAACGAAATTCCTTTATGAAGTGCGGTAGAGTTGTTTAGACGGCGGCTGCTCTAATCTCGCCCATCTTACAATTTTTTCGCAAATAGCAGGGGAACTCTCTGGAATGTGCCTTTTCTCTTTCTTTTCCCTACACCATCATCCCTTAGCTTTCTTCACCATGACTCCCTCGCACAATCACAAACACTTAAAAATCAGTCTTATAATACGACCTTCCGTCGGCAGGGTGAATATTAGTCGAGGATTCCTCAACGGCACGTCGAGGATTTTCGCCTGATCAGTTACGCTCTCCCGCGCGGACATTCACACTCGCCATGCGCAAGCCGTCTGTGCTCTCCGCGCGTACGTTCACTCTCGGCACTACTCTCGCACGCCATGGTCGTGGATTTCCTCGACCGTTATTCAGCTTGCCCGGCGGAGTCAGACGTACGGTTGACTCTGCTTCGAAATCCGTACCACTTGCCGACCATGCTCATTTCAGGTCCTTTCGATTGTGAGCTCTTCTAAATTTTTCCAAACACTGTCTGTCATTTTCATGCATCGTTGTCATACTATTGTATTTGTGTATACTACTAATTTTTATTTGTTTTCGATCAATAAATATTTAGTTCTCGAAATTGTTCGGTTGATCCAGTGAAGGTCAAATTACTATTGGCGGCAATCACAGATGAGTGTCGTCTACACTCTCTCGCGTACGACGTACTATCTCGCGTCTCCGCTCTTTCCGCACCACTGTACCTCTCCTTCATATTACGGCCGATCTCAGAGGAAAAATTTCAGTGTTTTCTACTGCGCTTGTTGAACTTCCTTCCCATTAACGTTCCTCATAGCATATCTTGTCTAATTTCAGAAAATTAGCGCACCATTTAGATCCCGATTCTGATCTTTAAGAATGAGCTAAGAACATCAAAGAGAAGAGCGGGCAACCTTGGATCCTTTTGAATAAGACATCATCCATTCGGCTGAACCAGAATTTTGCACGAAATCAGCTTGCGCACCGAGAATTCTGCCCTGCGCCCTGTAGTGCGCTGGGAACATGGGCTGACATCGAATCAGGGCAAGGACCCTGACGATGTCACAGAGCGCTCCAGCAATGTCTTCTGAGGTCTAATCGTTTCACTCGATACCGATACTGCCAATACATATCATTGTCTAATCCAAGAAGATTTTTCGCAACGTTTTCAACAACCGAAGCTGTTTATTTTGCAAGTTGGGTAAGAATCTCATAGTTATGATAGCTAGAATTAGCTTGATTAATGTGTGTTTTGAGCGTTCTGATCCGAGGCTTACAGAAACCACTGAGCACGGAATCGATACAGAGTGCTATTGGAAGAGGCTGAGATGAACTTTTACAGTTAAGGCCTATGTCATAGTTTGGAATCCGTCCACTGTCACGTGACACTGTTTGAAAGTGGCGGGCTTCCTTTAAACGTTGGGTCCCGCCACTATTGAGTCGCTGGTACCTAGTTCGACTCGCTGGCGCAAAGTTCGATTCGCTGGTGCAACGTTCGATTCGCTGGCGCAACGCTCGGATCCAGCGATTCGCTAGCGAATCGCTCGATTCGCAAACTATGACATCGGCCTATCGCCATCAGATGTTAAAGAAGGGGGATACGACTGCTGTAAAGAGAATCTAGGCCCTTAAGGAACCACGGCGTGGCACTTTCGCGGCAATAGCCATTCTCTTAGCGAGATAGTGTGATGCTCACGGTAACCACCGCCTCCACGGAAAACCTCTGAATGGCAAGGCAAGCTTCGGGGTAAAATAGAGTGTTCACTAATGAAGCCAGAGGTGGGATTGGTCTGGAAAAGAAAAAGAAAGCGAGACCGCTGCCTGCCGCAACTGCGCCCGCTTTTCAAGCAGCTGTGACAACCGCAACCGAAGGCGGGGCTGCAGATTGAAAGGTGTGATGCGTGTTGAGAGAGCGAACTTTTAGCGTCCTTGTCGCGCACTTCCAAACCGTGGAAGGGGCGCGACGTTGAAGCTTGTCTACTACGCTCGAATATGGAACATGTGAGCGTGCCTAATCCCGGAACGTGCCATCAAGCAAGTTAATTAAAGTGTGACTACAGGGTGATGAGGAGTTGCTATGTGCACCGAATGGTTTAGAATGTAGGGCAAGCCGATCAGCCCGATGATGTCATCCTTCACTGAATCTCGCCATGTACGGAAAAGATGAAACTGGATCGAGGGGTTTTTTTCATTTGGGCTCTCCTTCACCACTCGCACTGGGCACACCGTTTCCCATCTCCTCTTTCATTCCAACTGTGATCAACTTGCCCGCACTGCCCTGTCTATCCCTGTGAGAAATGAGACCCTTTCCTTGCCCGTCGATTTCCAATATTGATGCGACTCTCATCGGTGGCTGCACTCTTCCGCGGCTTAACGCTCTCATCCTGCTCTCTCAACGCTAAACGCTTCTCTTTCGCTAACGCATTGAGCCCGATGGCAAGGTTGAGGCTGCTGCGGCGCGGGTTGGGCCACACCCAGAAAGCTAGGAGCCACTCTTTGCTGCAAGTTACGCATCCTACCACACCCTTTGAGGGTCCCCCTGCCTTTTGACTGAGTATGTTTCCCTTTTTCGATCTCCGAGTTAACACGGAACCATCTTTTAGGTGAAAGCTTAAGCCGAACTTAATGCAAACATACGCTCTGAAATGGCCACATTTTGAAGTAATTTTGAAGTGTTCAGGGTAAAACGTCAAAGTTGAGAAACTTGCAAATCATTTCCCCTCGAACCCTTCACACAAATCCTGCTCTTGCTGTGATGCCAACTCATCTATTTCTATAAGGTGAATCCCTTATTCTGTTACCTTGTTCCGTCCGATAAACCAATCAGAAGGACGTCCTTCCTTAGTATCCACGTACAACACACATGAAATATTAACTAGAAACCTTTATTATCAATATTTATGTTACTTAAAAATTGAATACATATAGCAGTTCCTAGCTCACGATAAATTTGCACGACTAGAAATAATTAATAGCGTTCACGAATGACACTGAGGGCTCAACACAACAATGAAGAGAAGGGTAGGTCGACTTCAACTACTAGACCAATGAGTATAAGCAGGTTCTAGTGATTGTGGACGAGTACTGGTCGACTTGAAGAGCCCGCACATACGGATCCCAATGAGGCCCAGATACAGCCCTCGAAAGAAGGGGAAAAGTGTGAAGAAGAAATCTCACAAAATGACTCACAATTCCACTAAAAACAACCGTAGCTCTCAATTGTGCATAATTGGCGGTGATTTTTGAAATATTGGAGAAACTTTGGCAGCACCAAAAAAGGTCTTCTTGATCGAGTGTAGTGCAACAGACGCAAAGCGCGGCAAATGGGTAGAGACGCAGAGGACTGTTGACTAAGTTGTCTGGCCTACTGGCAGCAGTTTGACGTCGAATCAACTAGACAGTTACTGCTAGCTAGGTTACTGCCATTTATTTTAACAGACGCGAATTAAATAATCCGACATTATGAGACACACATGAACTCGAAAGTTCACCTGAGCACCAATGATAGAATTCCAGAGATGGATGAGCACACGTGTAACTTACCGTAGCTTCAGACTTCAACTTTAAATATGCTTAACACGTTGACGACAGGCTGACGCGCATGAGCGTCAGACATCTGAGGCCGCATTGGACGCAGACAGAGACATTCCGGACAAGACAACTAGCCAGCAATGCCTCTTTGTCTGTTCATTCGCTGTTGTACTACACCCGTTTCTAGTTACCTACCAGGGCGCTGGCGCAGTACGCGATAATCAAGCATTCCATCGCGAAATGACAGCTTCTTGCGCAACGACAGCGCCCCGGTCAGTGATGTAAAATGGGTAATGTGAAGTGGATTTACGATTTTTTTTGAAGCCTCTGCAATTACAGGACTGCAAAGACCTCAAAGTAACTAGTGCTTAGGAGTGAAAGCACGATAACTTATGAAATCAGAAGACGGATTCACAATCTGAACATCGCCACAGGCTGCTGAGATGAAAACGACGTTACCGCGGTGAACTTCAAGATCCTCTGACCACCTTTGAAATGGGCTTTACCGCTGATTACAACCACTATAGAGCTGGCCGATTCGCGCAGAGAACTTCTTGGCCGACGCCCTGAAATACTGATATCAGGATAGAGCATTGTACATTGAAGGATATGAGAAAGTAGGCGCTACTACCCATAAACTGGAGGGGGGCTGCCAGAAGCGTCGATCCACTTGTCTGCGCCATAATTCCGCCAAAAGTCTGGATACGCCCACATTCCAACTTTTCACATCAATCAATTGACGCGGCGCCAAATCCCCTCTCTCCTCCCCCATCTCCTCCATTACGCGTATTCCCCTTCAAGAGTTTCCCGTTTCGGAGGGACTATGAACACTGTAGAGGGCGCTGACAAGCAGATCCGACAAAGTCTAATGACTGCTCCCACCCACGGCCCGCCCCCCCTCCCCCCAACTACAGCGGATCGCGCAGTATAAACCTCCACCAGCGTTTGTTCAATGCTGGACTTAATAAGAGACCATCGGCGAAGGAGAACTAGCAAAAAGAGCAACAAACAAGCTATGCTATCGCTTCCTTACAACACCAATTGAAGTAATGAAGCATTATAATAATCTACGTTTCAAATTCTACTCCTATTTTTCCATCGGAATTTTTTACGAAAGGTGAATAAAGATAACTGAAATAAAAACCTACCCCAACAGCTTGCACGGCAAACTCCGGTACCGGAGGCGCGTAGAGTGTGACACCAGGTGCTACCTCTTTGTGAGGGAATATAGGCGGTCCACTCATTACGTACGTCAAATTCGCGCATAGTGTCCCAATATCCTTGAACTTTGGTGTCAGTCCAGCTCTAATTGTATTGTCGGAGCACGCCATGCATTCGATACAATCTGATAAACAGGAATGTCAGTTTTAGTTCTTCTTGAAGCAAAACAACCTCAACCTGCACATTTTTTGGGATGCGACATGAACTTCACAGTGGAAGTAAAGGCAGATGGCACGATAAACTGGTCACCCGTTAGGAATGATGTGAAAGCTGCTGAGAGGTGCAGCAGAGAAAAGAAACTAATAAGAAACTAATAAGGGAATTCCCCAAAACCCGCATAGCGTTCCCTTTTTTCAGTGCAATTCCACGTTCAATTCTTCTCTCCCCCACCTAACAACTACGACAGATTGGGCGGAGGAGGAAGGCGGGGGGGGGGAGGACACAATATCCAATCCTCAGTAAAATGTGTGAGGAACAATTTGTAGTAACTTTCTTTTTTTGCGTACACAAATGGTTCACAATAGCAAAAAACTTGACAATTAAAAATACAAGAAAACGATCGAATACAAACCTCCAGATAAATATGCATGAGGCTGATTTGGTCCAAGAAATGTCGCCTGACCTGGTTTTAGCGTGAAGTAATTCAGTAGCAGTGGAGCGAACACACCTACATCACCTAAAACTAGGGGTTTTCACAATATACATACCACATGACGAGAAGCCAAATCACCAAGCACGATCAACGGCAACGTGGAGCGCAGTAAATCGTTTGATGACATGTTTCTTATACGAAGAAAAACGCTGACCTCCTGGATATGCTTTGTCAAGTCTTATAATCAACTCGTGCAAGTCGCCTTTTGGATCTAAAGCAAGATTACATCAAAGATTTGCATCGCTAGAAAAAAAAACAGATCTCCTTGAAAATACAATGCTTCAAATATTGAATCGACCAGAAATTTTTCACAGTTATTCGGCCAATGCCATTTCAAATTTTTATGAGTTCGTACCGAATTTTTGACATGGTTCGAAAGCCCGCAATATTAAGCAAATTTTGGCATGGAACACTTGTATATTTTCTCCAGTTTGAAACTTACAGCAACGGCCGCGATGGCTGATAGGCGGAAACGAGCTGAACACTTCATTTGTGGAGGGCGGTTGCTGAGCACCTTCTCGACGCCATTCCACAAATGGAGTGT